TTCAGCCGAAGTCTCCAGTTTCAGGTTAGCAGCGGTACGAGACATTTTAGTGTTGTTAAGTTCCACCGTTCAAATATTGGGAGTGTGGCTGACGCACCTCACTCGGCTGTTTGGCAGAGTTCGACTCAGTGCCCCGTGACTCTACCGAAACCGGCCGAGAAGCACACGAATACAATCGGACCACCCCACACTCTCCACGTGTTGAATGGGTTTCTCTGATTTGTTTACACCCAAGATTCACGAGAAACGGAATCTGTTATTACAAGTACGCTTTAAGTTTCCAATGTCTGGAAAAATCTCTGCAAAACAACGAAATGACCCAAGTGGGACGTTTCTCGTTTTTCTTCAGGTTATGGCCGCCATAAAAGTCTAAAATAGCATCTCTGCAGTGCATTCAATGTTGTATCACAATGTAAAACCACGACAGAATGAAATTGCCTGCAAGACGTTGTAACCATGTAATTCAGTTGGCTCCGCAAAATGTCTTTCTCTCGGCCGCTAGTCAAGGAACTACATTAAGTAGACATCTTTTCGTGTCTGTATAAACATCTTCAAAACAGTGATTTCCAGTTCACGATTAATTAACACGAATATTTTTCTTGGGTTTACTCAGATCCTCCATGCAAGTCTTTGAATTGTATTTCGACGCTTCCTGTCATTTTTCAGTTCGATTCTATGTAACCTATGAAGGAAGAAATCACAGTCAAATATTAAGTGTCTGCCAGTACTGTTTCTAAGCTTCAGATTGATAGGGAGGTATGTTTATACTTTACTGAATACATTTTGACTAATATAACTTGATAATTAGTTTCGTCCGTCATATTTATCTGACATTAAATTTTCCATTAACTCTCAAAATGAACTCCCAGTTCATCTAGAAAACAGAAACCATTTTTAACTGCGGTTATCACAAGCTTGGTTCTAGGTGGACTGGGTTGGGGGATAACTACTTTCCATAACGTCATAAAAAGCCGATATGTAATTATAGAGCGAGGTGAAACTCGTCCTTTATGTGTGCGACAGAAAACGAACAGGTGTCAAAAAAACACACGCCTGATGTTATGTTCCGTTTAACTGTGTTCATTCTCCTGCGAAATGTTATTGAACTCAGAAAAATAGCTTTTAAGAAAATTTGTTCATTTCGTAAATAATCACGTGTAAAGTAACAGTCAGGGTGTTTTATGATATGAACTGTGGAATTGTGAATAATCAGAAATTCAACGAATTTTTAATGTTAATCAGCACTTCTTAGATAACATTGCTGTTGGTTCCAGAAGCCTACTTTCTTCTTATGCGTATCGTGCTATCTTTCCTCTAGTTATGCTAAATTAAGTTTTATATGCATTTATAACGCTGTCCGTGCGAGCTATGTGCCCCCACCCATTTTATTCTGAAAGTGTTTGGTGGAAAGTATAAGTTTTGAAGATCCTTATAATTTTCACTCATCTCTTGTTCTTCTGTTTTTGGTACATGTGTTCCACTCAGAATCTTCTTTTAAATACCCTCGAGCTATCTTGTTACCATAAGATCATCCTACCTTTTAATTTTCTGATATAAATAATGCCAACATGCCGGTTGCGCGAATATCTGAGACACAATCGATATAGCGCCACTTAATGTAATGTTAATATATTTTCATTTGATTGAAACAATGTGAGGCCACATGGAATATACAGAGTATTCAGAAAATTACGTTCCATTTTCTATGTACGGTATATTCGGATACAGAAGCACATGGCAAATGATTAAAGTCGCATATTTATGGAGACTTTATGTGTTCGTCATGTCAACATATGTTCATTATGAAAATTATGACCTTCGTTTGATTGATGTAAACGAAATACAAAATTCCCAGCTGAGTTACGCAGTAAGTCAGCTGTGATATCTTCAGCAGCATTTTTAGTTTCCATTTTCTGATCGGTACGCGTTTTTGTGCGGTACACACGATACGATTTTTAATTTAGCAGGTATTTGAGAATAGGGTGTTGAGGAGGATATTTGGGCCAAGGAGAGAAGACGATGGGGCATGGAGAAAACTGCATAATGATGAGCTTAAAAATCTGTACTACTCCCCCAGTATTGTCAGGGTGATTAAGTCGAGAAAAATGAGATGGGCGGGGCATGTAGCGCGCATGGATGGGACAAGAGGTGTTCACCGGGTCTTGGTCGGGAAGCCTGAGGGGGAAGAGACCGCTGGGGAGACCTAGACGTAGATGGGAGGATAATCCGAGGCGGGATCTATGGGAGATAGGAGTTGAAGGAGACTGGACATTATTGGTCCAGGAGGGCTTTGGTTAATTCAGTGATGAACCTTCGGTTTCGGTAAGCCATCTAGTTAGTTAGTTAGTTAGAACATATTGGTCACTACTACGCACACCCGAAGCACCCTGGAAACAGATTCGACATAATACGTCAACCGAACACGTCATACAAGACGTCAAGGAAGACATTCGCATATGTCGGCGTGCGTCATCCTACTGGAAGAATGTGGTGTCCGCATACCCGGTACCCTGAATGACCGGAATGAGCTCATTTTGCAGCTGCATCCGCTAACTTGTTATGATGACCTCAACAAAGACAGGTCCCGTAAGCCCTTGTCTCTGGTTGTACGCCAGACGGCACAGTTCGCTAGATGCAGCGACGTCTACACGACTGTGTGGATTTTCGTAGGCTCAGAACCTTGTGTTCTGTGTGTTCACGAACCGAATGGAGGTATAAATTGGCCCTATCGCAAAACGACAAGCAGTTTAACTAGTTGGGGTGCTTTTGCAGGAACACGAGCAACATTGTCCTGCGTGCGTGCTGATCTGTGCGTTCTTGTCGCAGACACTATAAGTTAATTTGACTAATTACAGATCGTAATAATGCCTGTTGCATTTCTTCCGAAAATGTTTTTGTACTCTGGTTTGACAACGAATTTGAATAAATATAGGTCCACGCTCCTCATTGTTGTACGACATCTTGTACAGTGCGCGCTGTTTACTCAGCTGCAGGCTCCTCATATTCTTACCTTTTACTTTTCCCATTAGTCATTCTATACATTGGCTCGCTTTTCTAACTCATGCGTATTTTCCTGAATACTCCTTACTTAACTAACGGTAATATGGGGACATTAGCTTCTGAGGTTCGTACAACGAATTGTGTTTCAGGGGCCACGATAGACCAGCAGTTGTGCGCATGGCTTGCAGTGCTTGTTCTTCCGGTCAACTCAGCACTGAATCCAATACTCTTCACACTAACAACATCATTCTTCAAGAATCAGGTGATAATATGCTCTGTTCATTCCTTTCCTTTCTTCATATTGTTCTTCTATAGCTTTTACGAGTTAGGACCTCTGGCCTTTTCAGATAAGAATAAAGTTATTAAACTATCCCGTTAATCATTTGGTAGGACACTAAGGACGAGGGACCGGCCAAACGCAACAACACAAGAAAACAATGACTTACATCTATGCCACTAGAGGGATTGTAATTAATGATCTCTAAGTTCAGACCCGTCGTTTCCTACATGAACTGTGGAACATCACAAAATTGTCAGGATAGGTGTCCTACAGGCCGAGATTTTAACTCGAGGCTTTCAGAATACGAGGCGGAATTATCGACCTCGTCTTTCGCTATTTTTGAACACTGGTACTTTACGGAGTGTTAAGTAAGAAATTACAAAAGTAGTGGCATAGTGACAAAAAATTTTAAAAAATATATTTTTGCTAATTGTAGATAGCAAAAATTAAACTTTATACAGTTAGGTTTCTGAGGAAATATGGTTTGTTTGTTGTAAGAAGTCTGCAAATATGTAATCTGCACCTGAATGTACAGTTGTTTCACACGCCTTCATTGCATAGTTTGAATACTAAATGCACCTAGCAGAAGATTTGCTAGTCTAACCCAACCCGACACAACCTAGCTGGTCATATTTCAACATAACCCAATCTAACCTGACAAACCTTACCCGTCCTAATCAAGAGAGGTCTCCGCCGCAACAGGTGGACTCCGTCCTAAAAGACTTATCTGCCTCTATTTTCTCTCTGACCCACCCACTAGGCTCTACCCAGAAAATGTTTTGTTCTTAGGGCACCTGCCCAATCCAGTGAAATTTTTCCGAACAGCGTTTACTTCCAGCGATCGATTTTGAACCATGTCTGCATCCGCGGAGCAAAACATCGTGACCCTCGAGGGTCCCGTCCTCATTGCATGTTTCTATCTCAATTCCAGGACCACACACTGGGAATCAACTCGCGGGAAATTAACGTAACCTGAACTAATCTAAATTAACTTTTCCCATCCTGGACTGACCCAGTCCGAAAAACCTGACAAAACCGAACCCAACCCAAGCAAACCTATCACAACCTAATTTATCCTATCCCAAACAAAACTAACTATCCCATTAAGGGGAAACCGTAAATTATTAGTTTCTCCCATCCGAGGTTCCAACCCAAATGGGGATCAGCCCATCCCACGGGGTAGTCTCATATGGCTGTTGCTTCGATGCGGTATATTCGCTTTCCACTGGGCCGCCAGAACACCCCACCACACTCCTTTGACATAACCACCCAGGCACCTTACCAAAATCAACTTCAACCATAGCTTCCTAATCTATTCTTACCTAACCTTCCCTAACCTTAACCACCCTAACGTAATAAATATAATCCAGTATAACCTAACCGAGCTGAAGGACTCAGTCGTTAGTCTGGGGACTGCATCCCATAAGGAGTAATACCTCTCTTGGGGCCACGCCTCACTCACTAGGCTTCTCTCCGACTTGTCTTGGGTTTCCGCCCCACTAAGCGGGCTCGACGTCATCACGGGAGCTCTAAATCACCTACCCGAACGTACCGCCACACAAATGGCTCGCCGTAGCCCTTGGGTACTGCGCCCCAGCAGGGGCCCTGCCCCATGTATCGGATTCTCGCACACAGGGATTCCCTCATAGCCGTTAATCACACTAACTCTTGTCACCCTCACGGTACGCCACAGCGTGTCCCCTGGTGTCCCTCACAGTCTTGGCTGTTTGGAAATTCGCCACAAATGGGGTCAACTCGACATGCTGGTGCCACTATATTTCTATTACCCAACGTCGCACCACACCTGCCCACGGCATCCCACTGCCGTCGCTCTTTTGGGCCCTGCTCCATCAAGAGGTCTTTGCCCCCATCCATTGGCCGAATTAAATTTTAGACAACTCTCAAATTGCATAAAACATTCCATACCAGACTTGATGCAAATCCGCCCGTCCGCTTGTCTCAAGTTGAATGATGACTGGCCAACACTTATGCACTTCGTGCAAAAAATGCATAATAATTGTCAGACTTATTTATTATTTATTTAGTGTTCTGTCAGACCACAGGTCCATATGAACAGGATCCTTCCATCCTTTTCTCGGACTGGGACTGGGACCTGTTCATATACGTTCTTGGCAGATGATCCAGAAGTGGTTTGCCGTTGCCTTCTTCTGTGTGTGAATGGAGTAATTGTTGGGATGCCACGGAGGAAAACTCCGTGTTGCCTAGACCACGGCCTTGCCCAACACAAGTTATAAATCCGGGCACCGCCGGGAATCGAACCCGAGACCCCAGTATTACAAGGCCAGCGTTCTAACCGCTAGACCACCGTGGCGTCTAATTGTCAGACAACTAGGTGAAATTATAAGAAAAAATAAACAAAAACAAAGTACTAGACATAGAGAATGAGACATGCCTCAGACATTTTTCCATCATATTTTCTTACCCATTTACTTAACATGCTGCCATCTATACTTTAGGCAAAAAGAGAAATGTAGATAAATATTGAAATACAAATTTATACAAAAAGAATGGGCACTAATATTACCTGTGAAGAGATGTGTTAATCAGATGTATATTTTTTAATTATTATTTGTTTAGTTATTTTGCTGCTTATTTCTATTTATTCGTATCTTACTTTTCTTTCACAGTCTGTTCTATTTCATAACGAAGCATTGTGTGAAAATACTACAGTATGATTTTAAGCAGTCGTTTACGAAGAGTAATGACAGATCATGAACCTAATGAAGTAGGTCAATCTCAAAGCGAAGTTGTGTCTACTCTACTTATTTGTTCCGTTATGCCATCAGATTTCTCGCTTGCTGCACTCATGCAGGTCATGTGAGACCGGTCCTTCCCCGGACTCTGCGGCATCGCTAAGCAACATGCAACTGAACGTCCGTAAGCGGTACCCTAGCAGTCAGGTAAGACCCGTGGCAAATGGTGCTGAAGGAAAATCGACCCGCGTAAACTGTTACTCAAATTACACGTTTCAGAAAAACCTTGAATTTCTTATCTTTCAATCCCAGACTCTCTGATATAAACATCCGAAAAATCAATGTCAACAAAATCTCTCGTGAAGATTTCTGTCTTCTGGGTTGTTGCGAGCCCTGATGACGGAGACAGTATGACCTCTGAAACGTTGTTTAATAACATCGACCAAACTCCACAGCGCAACAACCCAGAAGACAGAAATCTTCATACTCACCACTGTGAAAACCTCAAATCTTACAAAATCCTGTTCAATTTGTCAATTTTAATCCGGTGATATCTGTTTCACTTTCTCATATTCAATAAAATCAGATTAAGGCAGTTGACAGGGAAGAAGCACTCAGCATGCATAGTGAAGACGTTAAATTTATACAAAATTATGCCTGAGAAAACCGAAGTGAAGTGAACACTTGGATAACCTAGATGTGGATGGGAGGATAATTTTACACTTAATGTCACCTCTTTAGAGGCGACATGGCAAGTAAGAAGTCTAGAGATAAAAATTTGCAAAGTTGTAGACTTCTTTAATGATCTGGCACTATTACTTTGTGAACTTTCTGATTTCCTGAGCAGTTGAACGACTGTCGGGGCCACAAGATTGATTCAGCTCTAACGAAATAAATTAATTATGAAAATATCGACATTATTATCACACAAGTAGATATTTTCCTATTGACGAGATTTCCATGAGATCCACGGAATTTTGAAATCAATACTTGTGTATGCATTGGACATCCCTGCTTCACGTCCAACATACTGTAATGTCGCTCACCTAACTACAAGATGAATAGAACTCTGTGTTTGTAGCCACATACGAATAATTGTTTAATTTATAAAATTCGTAAATTCACAAATTTATTTTCGTAGTCGTCCAATATTTGCCACTAAATCTCTTTACGGTTAAATAATTCATAATGAAGTTTGCCTGAATAATAGAAAGTATATGAAATACTACCTGTAATATTCAGAAAAGTATGTGGACTCCAATCAACTTTGAAAAACAGTTATTTTGATGTAGCTCACGAAAGGTATTTGTCTAGAATGCAAAGCGTTAGTATGGGCATGTTTTTTGTTTGTCATCAGTTTTTCGACTGGTTTGATGTGGTCCTCCATTTTCGCTTATCTTGCGCCAATCTCTTCATTTCCACATATTTTTTACAGTCCACATCCTCAAAAATCTGCGTCACATATTCCAATCTTTGTCTCCCCCTACAATTCTTGGCTTCCACTGTTCCTTCCATTACTAAATTAAACAATCCTGGGTGCCTCAGAATGTGTCCCGCCATCCTGTCTCCTCTTCTATTAAGATTTTTCCATAGACTTCTTCCTTCGCCTATCCTGTCTAAGACCAGCTCATTTCGTACTTTATCAGTCCCCTTAATTTTCAACATCTTTCTATAGCACCACATTTCAAATGCTTCTATCCTTCTTCTTTCTGGCTTTCCCACTGACCATGTTTCACTTCCGTATAGCGCTGTGCTCCAAACGTATAACTTCAGAACAATCTTTCTTAATTCCAGTTCAATGTTTGACACTAGTAGATTTTCTTTTCGCTTGTGCTAATCTGCTTTTAATGTCTTCCTTGCTTCATCCATCTTTTGTGATTTTGCTTCCTAAATAACAGAATTCCTTCACTTTTTCTATTGTGTCTTTCCCAATTTTGATATTTAATGGATCATTATTCTCATTTTTGCTGCTCCTCATAACTTTGGTCTTGCTTTTGTTTATCTTTAAGCCAAATTGCTCACTGAGTATTCTATTCATACCATCCAATAATTTCTCTGCATCTTCCTCCCTTTCAGCCAAAAGGGCAATAACATCCTCTCCCCTTGAACCTTTATTCCTATCCTGAACTTTTCTTTCACTTCCTTCATTGCTTCCTCAATATACAAGTTAAACAGCAGGGGCAATAGGCTGCATCATTGTCTTACTCTCTTTTTAATAAATGCGTGTCTTTCTTGATTCTCCACTTTTATTATGGCCACTTGATGCTCATATATATTGTAAATAACTCTTCTGTCTTCATACTTCAGCTCTACTTTCCTCAAGATTTCAAACATCTTATTCCACTTTACATTGTCAAAAGCCTTCTCCAAGTCTACAAATGACATAAATGTATCCTTATTATTCTTAATCAGTCCTTCTATTATTAAACACAAGGCCAGAATTGCCTCTCGAGTACCCATACTTTTTCTAAAACAAAACTAATCCTCATCTAGAGCATCTTCAACTTTCCTTTCTATTCTTCTGCATATTATTGTTGTTCATAATTTTGAAACATGAGATATCAAACTAATTGTGCAGTAGTTCTCACATTTATCTGTTCTCGCTTTCTTGGGGAGTGCGATGATAATGCTCTTTTAGAAGTCTGGTGATATTTCTCCGGACTCATAGAGTTTGGACACCAGATTGAATAACCTTCTAGTTCCCTCATCCCCCAAAGATTGCAATAATTCTGAAGGTATCTCATCTACTCCCACTGCCTTGTTTGAGTCTAAGTCTTTCAGAGCTCTGTCAAATTCAGATACTAGTACTGGATCCCTTATTTCCTTCATATCAACCTCCTTCACTTCCTCAATCACACTTTTGGACAATGTTTCTCCATGATACAGGCCTTCAATGTATTCTTTCTATCTATCTGCTCTTTGTTCTGTGCTTAACAGTGGTTTTCCATCCGAACTTCTCATGTTACCACACTTACTTTTCATTTCTCCGAAATTCTGTTTGATCTTCCTGTATGCTACATAAATTTTATTTATAAACATTTCTTTTTCAATTTCTTCACACTTCTCTCACAGCCATTTTCTTTTGCTGCTTTGCACTTTCTGCTGATTTCATTTCTAAGTAACCTGTACTCCTTTCTTCCTTCTTCATCACATGCAGTTTTGTATTTTCTTTTTCATCCATACATTTTAGTATTTCTTCAGTTACCCATGGCGTTTTTCCTTCTTCTTTCTTTCTACCTATAATTTCTTCCCCAGCCCTAAATATTTCCTTCTTTAGTATGGGCATACTCACTGTCTAATGAGACTCATTCTGTTTGCAGCCACCAACACGATCCAGCACACTACGTAGTCATGGCAGCTACAAATCTATACAAGGAACAGCTGTGTAGACATAACGTAGCTACACGTCTACACAAAACGGAGCTGTGTAAGCATCGCAAACAACGCATTTGTCGATAAAGGACCAAAAACATAGTTTTACGAAACGAAAGTGTTGTGTAGATGCACGATAAGGAGAGCTGTGTAGACAAACGTCTATTATCCATAAGAACCGAAAACAAAGATCTATAGGTTATACATGCAAGCAGACTGATACTTTGTATACAAATGGTAGTGAACATGTGTGTAAATATGACATTGGACATGTGTAAACGCACTCCAGTGGACAGCCACATGATAGGAGACTGCTAAGTAGTGACATGGTAAGAGGACAGCAGGGGCAGCTATGTAGGAACAGAACAGAACAAAGGACAGATGTTTAAGTAAAAGGCTGGAGACACCTGTGTAGGCACACTGTAGGAGGCAAAGTCAAGGGCATAGGTATATGACAAGAGATAGCTATGAAGGCCCATAACACAAGACAGCGGCATGTGTATATGGCTGTGGATATGGGTGCATAGACAAACAGCAGGAGACAGCTATGTGTAGGAACATAATAGGAAACTTGTAACTTAGGCACTTGCGTTAGACATGCATATGCTCACAGGGGCAGAGATTTTCCTTGACATATGACAGGCACCATCTTCCTACAATCATGAAGGGGTGCAAGCTACAAGGCACATGTTAATTTAGGAACTTGCAATCACAACATAGCATGCCTCAGGTTGTGGATGGAGTATAAGGCTTCCAAATGTGGAGGGTAACTGTGAGTATATTAAATAATCAGTTGCAGACTTTAAACAAGGGGCTGTCCTCCAGTCCAGGGATTTAACATGGGGAGCTAACAACTCCTCGTAGTAAAGAACCCAGCACATTTCAAAGTATTACACAAAAGTTTAGATTTCATATTTCTCCACTTGGTCTCTTGTTAAGGGAAGAACATACGTATATTGAAGGTATCTGAGTTGAGTGTGCTGATGAGAATATTTGGACCTAAGTGGGATGAAGTGATGAGAGGGTGGACATAGTTAAAAATGAGGATTTCCACAATTTGTACTATTCACAAAATATTAGTATCATCAAATCAAAGGGGATGAGATGCATTGATCATGTAGCATGCTTGAGGAGATGAGAAATGTGTACAAAATTTTGACTGAAAGCCTGAATAGATTACTCAGAAGACATAGGAGGGCAATAATATATTTAATTCTAATTAAATGGGGTTGGGGAGGGCACAGGCAGGTTGGATTGGATTCATCTAGCTCATTACAATGACCAATGGCTTATGAACACAACAATCAACCTTCAAATTCCAAAATCAGGACTTTCTTGGCCAACTGGGCATACTATCTACCAGCTTCTTAAGGACTACAGACCTTTGAGTTAATGTTTGCTACCACAAAGAAAAGAATGTGTCTGCATTACAAAGACTGGTTGATTAATACTAAAAAAATTAATCATTGCTTATTGTGAGAATCATCTAAAGACTGTAAATATACCCTTGAAAAAATGCAGTAATACTTAATGTTGCATTAGGTGGCACATGTAAGTTACCACTATGCTCTAAGAGTTAAAAGGAGAAGCAGATACAGTGGAATCACCATATTAATTGATTTATAGTTGGAGGACCAAAGGGGTTTGTGAAAAAACACCAAAAATATAAGTGACTTGTCATCTGTAAATATTAGGGGTTTCAATAGCTGACATAGTAACTGTTAAAAATACCCTTCATGTTATAAATAGCTGAGTGTGTGATGGTCTTGTTATCACTGTCTGGTTGTGATAGTTGACCAGAATGTGTGATAAAAGTACCCACACAGAAACTGAAGGATGACAGGTGTTGGAAATTCCCTTTGATGTACTACTCCCAGAATAAAACAGATGAACAATCAGCTAACTGTTGAATGTGCACACCAAATGAACTACCCGCATTCATGCACTGTCTGTGCACAATGTGTTCCCTGTGTTTGTGTGTGCATGCCTACATGAAATCCATTTCTTATGCATGTATCACACAGAGAAATTCATACATCGTTTCTTCCTGTGTGTATTGCCAGATGTGCCAATTAAAGAACCTATAATATAAATACAATGTTTTAATTTCAAGCACCATAGTACCATAATATACTACATAACTCATTGCCCCAACAGTTTATGTAGAAATTTTGCCTTATTCTGCAGTCACTGATGTACTGATTAATACCCAATACATGCAAACACAAGCACAAAAACTCCTGAATATATTGAGTCTCAACATTATTGTAACAGCAGACACAAGGTGCAGTGCACAATTACATGAATCTTGTTCTTTTCAGGAGTCTGGTTTAAATTCCTACTTTTGAGTTTTATTTTTTTTATTTTCCGGAACTACCCTGTGAAGCAGAGAATGAAGTACAATTTCAACACATATGACACTTGATGACAATTTGTATTGTTCGCAGGTGAGAGAGTAAGGAGAACACAGCAAATTAATACAATATTCCATCTCCAATATATGTTGAGCCTTTCATGGCTATTTGTTAAAAACTATACATGCAAAAAAGAACATAAAGAAGATAAATAAAAGCAATCTGACAAAGAGATAACAACAAAAACAACATATGCAGGACTAATACTGTTAAATATCCATACTGCCAACAACTTGGCATCTTAAATAGAAGTGTTAGTATAACCAAATATGAACTTCCTTTATTTATTGGACTGCAACAACTCTTTCCACATTGCCACAAATATTCTTCAGTCTTAAAATTCGTCTGAAGAGTTTACTAATGTTAACATTGTCTTCTTTCACAGGTTTTGTGGTCCATAAATGCTGATCATTACATTTTTTGTTCACATACACAAATTATGGCAGAATATAATGAATTTTCAAGTTTATTTATCTTTTATACTTATTTTCAGAATCATCGTTTTAACACCTTCTATAAAAATTAAAATTTTGGTGATTACTGTAATATAGTTAATTTAAATTTTTTAAACATACTGTATGCTATATAATCTAAAAAAGCGTGTATTACACAATATTCAATGTGACTTGTTAAATTCTGTAACTAAGAATTAACTTACAATTCAGAGCCATTTTTATATATTTGAACAAGTAGTTCAGATATGAGATTTTTTTTGGCAGTGGAAATGTAGACTGTGGTCTTTTGAGTTGTAACACTGTACATTATTGTAGATGATTATCAATATTTCAGAGGGACGTTTAACTTCCAACACATCCTAGAACACGGATACAGCCCCATAGATGATAACGATGATATCATGTACATATTAAGAATAGCTTCAAATGATAAAATGCTAGATATTTTAGAAAAATTCCATATATATACAAATGTAGTAAAAACAAAGCCATCATTAACGAACAAAACGCCCATGATTCTAACGTATTATTTGACCTGGCATTAAGCAGGAAAAAGTAAATTTTCAATAGTTGGCCACCCTGGTTTCGAACTTATATATACCCTACTGGCAGCGCTTCGTTAGAGTTCACAGGTTTCGGACGACGCAATCACGGCTCACCGAAGACCAGCTACGGACCATTGGATCAATAGCTAAGTCTGTAACCGTCCAGACATTAGAGTCCTATGGAGTAACGCTGCAAGGGCGAGCTGGCTGGAATTCCTTAAAACAAAGTATCGTTTGTATTAAGTGAGAGAGTAGGCGGGGGGACTCATATGTGGTCTCTTGGGGGAGTGAGCCAGCAGCTGCAGTCGTGGAGAGTATCTTGACAGAAGAGCGTTAAAACTTTTGTAAGCTTGTGTTTTAGAGAAATTACATAATAAAGATACAATTAGATTCACAGTTAATCACCATCTCATCATTACACTTTTGATTCCCGTTAACGACCCCGAGTCCCTAGCTAGCTGGAGCAAATAACCGAAGAAGGATGACGGTTATAGTGCAGAGTCCAACTCCTGTGAATAGCAACATCCAGTGTAGTGTTGCTTGTTATGCTTTTGTAAAATACTCTACTTCATTATTTGTTTCTAAACCATTTTGGTTAAATGAATTAATTTCCCTGTTGCCACTGAAGATGACCTTTGAGGTTGAAACGCGTATGACACTAGTGTCCTTTTACAGTGTTAATTGTTTGTTTGATTATTTTAAAATCATCACAAACCTTATTCAAGAAGTGGTTCATCCCTATTCTAAGGATTGCAGCATCCCAAAACGTAAATTTGAAACACAGCCATAGCCCTATTTTAATTCAGAATAGAATTTTAAAACAAAATATTAATTACAAATTTTGGAAATAATTCAAATTTGAAGTGCCTTCTCATGTAGGTGCATTATAGTATGAGAGTAAGATAAGAAAAATAGTGAATTCTAAATGAGTTTATATTTTGTCACTGAGTTTGACTGTATTGTTTGTGTAAAGACATCATGTCATATATGTGTAATATATAAATAACGTGGTTACAGCCCAGTTTCAGAACCTTGTAACATCTCGTGCGTCCTGTTCATTCATGAATGTTAATGTAAAAATTCTCTAACTACAATTCCAGAACCCGAACACGAACAAAACGTCTGGGTTATATGTAATGTATCGAATACAGTCGAGATTCAGTGTATGTCGGCTGCTACATTACCGACCAACAAATGTTTGTTCCATATGTTTCAAACTGAAAACCTAATAAAGAAACTGAAATGTCTTCGGTCGTCACAGAAAAGTCGCTTACGGTCAGATACTGATAAGTTTCAATATCCACTAATGTACGGTTAAATCTGACAAAGTTGTCACTTCTTAAATGCAAATTACATTTTTAGCGTATTCAGAGCGTGAAAGACACGCATCTGTTATTTGGTTTATTAGCAGCCTACAACTTCGTAATTCGTCGAGGGTGATCCTAGCCTCTTAAATATGTGCGAAAACACTAAAAGAGTTCATATTTGATAACAGAGTTTGGATGTGATGGTTTTGTGATTGCGTCAATCATGTTTATATAATATATGAAATACATGAGTACAGCCCAATTTAACACCGTGTAACATCACGTACATCGTGTTCATTTGCAAAAGACTGTCTTGGAAAACATTTTCTTACTAATATTTCAGCCCCACGAACAAAAGAAAACTACTGGAGAATATGTAACGCATAACCTACATTCGAGTTTCCGTATGTTATGTCCGCTGAAACATTACTGATCAACAATTTACAAACTGCCATGTTCATTAATAAACTGGTTTGTCTCCTGCCCTCACAAAATCGTTGCTTAGTCATATATTGGCTAGTTCCACTAAAGTACCGTTTTGTTTGTCAATGTTGTACCATCCTTACTGCAATTTGCATTTTTAGCGTTTTCAGATCGTGAATATCACGAATATTGAATTTCGTTAATAAGTAGCCTGCGAATTCATAGTTCGTCTGGGGGTGTTCCTAGTCCCATAAATATAAGTGAAACCACTACACGTGTTGATATTTAATCATAGAGTTTGGATGTGATGGTTGTGTGAAGACATCATATCATGTAACGTAAAAAATTATGAACGTGGTTACAGACCATTTTCAGTATCGTGTAATAAAAATAAAAACATGTGATTTGTCGTCGTCAAAAAAGAATTGTGTTGGACGAGTAGGGACGGAAAAGAAATTTTCTCGGCGAAGATACATTATGCCTTGTGCCTGTACAAAACTGGAAATCCGTTTAGCAGTTTTATATAACAAATCGGGGACAAACAAACAAGATATTTCTGTTTCGCTTTCATTTTATGACATTTGTGCAAAGAAATTGATGGGCAGTGTCGGACACTGCCGCAGTTATTTTCGTGAAAACGTCAATCGTGTATAGTTTATTAAAATTAAACAAATTGTAAATATAAACATTTTTATAAATGATTATTTCTTAATTGGTACACGTCCATACTTGACCCAGGCTCGTCAGATTTGATTTGTTCTCGTTTCGGCTGAAGGGCTTTGCGACTTGGGGGTAGGGGAGATCACTTCAGCTGAGGGCCTCCTTCATCGGGAGTAGCGGGCCGTCATTCGCCTTACAAAATTAACAGTGAGATACGAGGTGCGATCGGAAAGTTTCCAGACTGTGTCAATATAGGGCGAACCGGATGTAGTACGAGCTTCTGCCGCTAAGGGGTTGGGCCTACATTCATAGTGAATCAGTGTGCCAGCCAGCATCATCGAATTAGCATTTGTTTCTTAGTTACGGGCGTTTTGTTAGTGCATTACACCGACCCTCCTGCGATTTCGGAATGGCGTGTGCATCAAATTTTGCCAAAGACTCGCCAAAACGGCTACGGAAATCTATGAAATGCTAACGCAAGCATTTGGGGAGTCCGCAATGGGTCGTGCACAAACTTTTGTGTGGCATTCACGTTTTAAAAATGGCCGAACCTCTGTCGATGATGACGAGCGTTCTGGACGACCATCTTCGAGCACAACGCCCGAAAATGTTACGAAGATTCGGCAGGCCAGTCACGAAGATCGACGTCGTACCATCAACGACTAATGCGACATTGTTGGGATAGGCTATGGGACCGGTCAGCTGATTCTAAAGGACGGAAGCGGCCGTCAAAGTGGCGCAACCACAACTGGCTGCTGCATCATGACAACGCGCCAGCGCACACCGCCCTCAAAGTTCGACAGTTTTTGGCCTCAAACACCATGGCCGTCATCCCGCACCCTCCTTATCCGCCGTGTGACTTCTTCCTCTTCCCAAAGATGAAAATTCAGCTAAAGGGAAGGAGATTTGAGACGATAGAAGAGATTCAGGCAGAATCGCAGATGGTGCTTGACAGGCTGACCAAGAAAGATTTCCAGGGATGCTTCCAGGCTTGGCAGCGGGGCTGGGATCGTTGTGGTCACTCCCAGGGGAACTACTTCGAGGGTGATGGATGAATTTAATACCTGAGATAAGTGTACGGGTTTTTATAGGCGCAGTCTTGAAACTTTCCGATCGCACCTCGTAGATATATGTTAATTTCAAAATATTAATAAAATTGCATATGTAATGAGATAAATACATTCTATATTATTCTCCTTAATTTAGAGAGATATGTCTTAAAGTCTGTTTTAATGTTTTACATCATCTTTACGCAGACTGTTATAATAGTTACAAACATGAAAATGAGATTTATGTGTTGGATTATTCATACACAGGCTCATATGTAACTGAACAGAAAATATATTTCTTTATATTTTGATGCGTGGTAACGTCTTCCTGAATGGCGTTGTTACTTGTAATGAGACGAGGACCCACAGCCCTTCAGTTGAAATCGGTAACAGCAGAGTCATTTGGGAAACACTCATTCAGCTACAAGAAAGAAATTTGAAACTGCATTTAACGGGATGATACTTGAAATTTTTTTGCATACAGGGAAGAGTCGGTCCACGTTTTATGTGCACATGTGAATAAAACCGTGGGGTCAATAAGGTTCTCCCCTAGAACCGAATGTGATTGGAACTTTGTTCTCGCAATAACGTTATGTACATCACACACTATGAAATTTAAAGATGAGAACCTAAGTGCACGCATGTAGTTAATTAATATTTCTTACCATGGCGTGCCTGATTACAGGTACTTGGAACATCCACCGTCGAAGTCGCCAGCCTCATGATCAATCCGCAGCTGAGCGTGTTGAAGGAACTGGCGGAGAAAAATTGCGTGACATGTTTCAGAGACGAAGTTGATGAGACAGAACGCGCCGTGCAGAAAATTCTTGCTTCTTGTGATTTACACTCATCATCATCTTACCCCTAATCGAAATTTCAAAATACTACGAAGATGTTTTGGAAACGCAAATTACTGCAGTCGCCAAGTTGGGGCTGTTGATCCCGAGGACTTAGATGAAGAGACTGCCATCTTAAAACGCGCGCGAAAATCAAATGTTGAAGCCGAGATCAAGCAAAGCCGGGAAGTTACTAGTGAAGTCGAAAAAATTCCGTTTGTGCCTGAATCTAGAACTCAGGACGAAGAGGATGACTTCTGGACAAAGAATCTCGATCTACACGATCTGTTTTCTGACACAGATTTGTTGTCTGAAACAGGGAATCTTGGTGACAACGATGATATTTAGATAAATAATAAATATCCAGAAGACTTGCTTTCCGACATGGATTTGTTTCCTGAAACGCGCATCGATTCTAAACTTTGATTTTTGAAGATATGTGCTGCTCATTCACAAAATTGTATTAATTCCAGAATTTTCTAGTTGTTGTTGTACAGAATATTTTGAAATATCAAAGCTGTCTATTTTTCCCTTATTTGAATTTCAAAATATTCCGCAGCAGATTTAGTTGTACAGAATATTTTGAAATTCAAATCAGGGAAAAATAGACAGGTTTGATAAATTTGGTAGCCTTCACAGGATCCAAGTATGATACCTGATATAATATACATTTGTGTATCTCTGCTGCCCAAATTACTCCACGATCTTCTTAAATTGTATATGGCCATAACTTGTCTTCATAAACACATATTTGGAAGTTCGTAATTATATACTATATGTAATGTTCTTGTATATGTAAACTGTTGTAAAATTAAGTATATAGTATTAAGTTATGAATACTACTCTTTTATGCATCTACGAGTTAAAATAATTCTGATTGCAAACACAAATTTTGTCTCACAAGGGAATGGTCCGGATGGTCATGCCGAAACCTCACATGAAATTTTGCTCGTCTACAGAGCCCATCTAGTAATGATTGAACACAAAATTTCAGCTCCTGATGCGCTGTGCAAGGGTACGAAAGAATTGCTCACAGTTGGAATGTATATTTAAAATTCGCGCCATCGCTCATGCGCGTGACAGAAGCGCGGTATTCACCGGTACATTGCAACGGGAGCGTAGGCCATTAGCTGAGATGGGTACTTGTAATTATCCGCTAGCACAATCTAAGGCTGAAAAATATCTAGCTCTTCCAATTTTATCAAGTATATTTTGGATATTAGGTAAAGGATAACTATCACCTATAGTTATTTCATTAAGTTTGCGAAAGTCTATGCAGATTCTGAATTTCCTTTTTCCGGAAGCATCTAATTTCTTGGGGATGACCAGTAAAGGGAAGTTCCACTCACTTTTACTAGTTTTGATTATACCATCATCTAACATTTGATTTACTGGAACTTTAATCTCTTGTTGATGTGCTTCTGGAAGCCTATAATTTTTTAAGGTTATTGCTCTACCTTTTGGAATAGAAGGGGTGGGGATAGAATGCCTTGCTGCTGTTGTAGTGGTTAATCTATCACCAGGTAATTTGAAAATATCAATATATTCTTGGCAAATTTTCCTAATATCTTCTGCTCCCTCATTTATGTGTTCTAACCTTAAATTCTCATTCAGCAGATTCAACCTCGTAGTTGAAAACAATTGTTCACTATTATGTGTTTCTTTTAATTGTGTAGGTGGTTTTACCACTCTAGGTGTTCTATTTATCATGAGTGTCTCATGTGTCGTGTTTACTAATAAACACGGGAAAGTTTGTTCAAAACCTGTGTAGGTGGTTTTACTAATCTATGTGTTCTGTTTATCATGAGTGTCTCATGTGTTGTGTTTACTAATAAACAAGGGAAAGTTTGTTCACAACTCACTAAACTAGAAGCACAAATAACACCAGGTTGCAAAATTTGATGTTCTATGTAACGTGTCCCTTTTTCTTTTGTTGGAAATTCTACCAAAGTTTCACTATATGGAGGAATTGCCACTGTTCTTGTCATCATATAACCATTTAGTGAAAGCCAATCCTGACCTAGAATTAAATCTAAATTTCTAGGTAAATTACTTACTACAAAATAATCAAAATCACTTGGTTCTAATGCATTTTCAAACTTTAAGGCCAATATGTCCCTGACCTTGGCATTTATATCACACTGTAGCCGATGCTACATTTGCTTCTCGTTTAATTTGTGGTGGTCTACTTTCTTTCCTAATTGTTCCCGAATAATTTGGACATCCATAACTTCCTGGTTGTCTATATTTTTGTGATCTAACTTCACTTTCTTCCTGAAGAGCAGTTTCAATTAATTGTGCAAGGGAATCATATTCATTCCTAGCTTTTACAATGTATTTTACCTTATCGTCTTTAAGTCCTGCCACAAAAGTACCCTTTAAAAATTTCCCAATTCAACTAATTCCACCTTCAACAAAATTTGGAATCCATATGTTATGACTCCCTTGTCATTAACCTTATCACAGCCTAAATTTTGGACTATCCTCGGCTGTACAGGCAGCCCTACTGCCTGTTTCCCTACCTACACTGCCCAGTTTCGTGACCCTGGCGTTTGCATTTTGAGCAAACAGGTTTATTATTACAATGTTTTGCAATATGTCCCTGACCTTGGCATTTATATCACACTGTAGCCGATGCTACATTTGCTTCTCGTTTAATTTGTGGTGGTCTACTTTCTTTCCTAATTGTTCCCGAATAATTTGGACATCCATAACTTCCTGGTTGTCTATATTTTTGTGATCTAACTTCACTTTCTTCCTGAAGAGCAGTTTCAATTAATTGTGCAAGGGAATCATCTTCACTCCTAGCTTTTACAATATATTTTACTTTATCATCTTTAAGTCCTGCCACAAAATTGCCCTTTAAAAATTCTCCAATCAAACTAATTCCACCTTCTACAAAATTTGGATTCAATCTTTCAAGTCTAGTTCTCGCTTCTCTTCTTAATTCAGTTCCCATAGCATCAATACGAGAACCCCATTATGCTACAGTTTCTGTTGGAACGTCAATAAAATAAAATGGAGAGTGGAGGACAGTATCACAGATTTCTTAATAATTCATACAAGATAAGTACTTTGGTTATTCTGAGAGGTTTTTGGCAGTATTAACGCCCGTCTCCAGTTCCCACTTGACTTCGCAAATGCTTCTTCTCGCCTTCATAGTCACGGTGTTTGAAAATGGCACACGACTGACTTGGTCGTGATCACTCCAACATGTCGGAGTGGTTACGACCGCTGTCTTCAAGGTCGTGTACTACCAACTGTGCAACGACCACTAGTTCCCACTCGGTAGTGAGCACGACCTCCGGTCCTCTTGGTCGTGTTCTCGCCCGGTCCACGACTCCGTGTGAACCCCCCTTTAGTTGCAGCGATGATTTGTTATCTTGTGAATGTTGAAATAAAAAATGTTCCCCCACACCAGAATATTATTGCTAAATGTTTCAGTACACATACTCGTGTATTGCGATACCAAGTCAAAATATTCTCTCTTCCTGGTCTTTTCGAAGTGTGCATTTGTTGGTAGTGAGTGACCAGCCCACTGCCTCCGCACAATTTGTACTAAATCCTTATCTCTGTCTGCTAGAGCCATCTAGTAGAGAATCAGGAGATACGTGGGTGAGAAATGGCCGCTGAATTTTGCTTAAGAAACATGTCGTTCATGCTCGTGAGGTTCTTTTTTGTGCCGTAAATCTACGGCATGGGACCGCCACCTTTACTTCCCCTGCGAAGGAAATTGTGCTATAGATTTTTATCACTCCTTAAAAATCCATCGACCTTGGTCGGGTTTGAACCCGCATACTTTGTATCCAGTGGTGAGCACATTAACCTCTACTATTCCACCGAGGGCTCCATATATATTGGCATTGGCATTTCCTCAGAACTGCTCTAGTAGTCGTAATGGTAGTTATTATTTCTGATGGTTTCTAAAAATTATACATCGACCAGCATTAGTCTCAGGAAACAAGCCATTGACAAGATTTCAAATACACAAAAGACATGACTGTTTTGTCTTTACTCACAATTTATTGTGAAATAACAGATTCAGATGAAGAACTTATTAAATACAGTTCAGCAATTAGTTTTGGACAGTTTGATTGTACGTTCAGTTACAACTGAAGTGACAGGCATGGTCTACTGTCAGAATGTAAAGTGTAATTATGAGGTAATTGTTCAGAATTCAGGTCTAATACTGACAGGATCAATATTTGATGTACTTGCTGAGTGTTCGAAGCTGTTAGGAGATGATTTTAATATTATCTTCCTATCTATGTGATGCTGTTCGCAGTGCTGTCTGTTCAGTAATATTTAGTGTGTATATTCATTTTCTAATTCAGGGACGTTGGGTTTACAACTTCATGGTCATTGGTGTGGTATCATCCAATAATAAAATTTTCAGTACCACAATGTTGTCATATTCTCCATTGCAGGAAATTATAATTGTTAAATCAAAAGCTAAGAAGGAGTACAGAAAGAATACAATATCTGAATATCTGATGTCAATGTCACTATGAGTAGTAGCCAAACAGTTGGAAGATTAATCAAGATATGCCTGCACATAGGAAGCAATGGTCAGCCATTTCCAGTCATCTCAGAGGTTCAAAACATATTTCCCTAAAATCCATCGTAATGTTGCCATGCCACCTTCCCCACGCCACAGAAGTGGCCAATTACAATAAATATTCTTTCAACACAGTACATTCATGCCTTGTTAGTCCATATTATTGAAATGCCCACCTTCTTTTATTATCCTAAGAGTAACATGAGATGCACATAACCAGAGATATTTTGTGCTCTACTTATAACAATCGTCAACTGAAATCTTCACCGATTGTTCTTGGGAACAAATGTTTTCCTTAACAGTTTGTTTACCAACAGTTGCAATTAACCATTATTCTGGTAATAGATTAATGCATTAGAAATTAAAAATAGCAAATATGAAAACATGACTCCATTCTTCCACATTTTTACATTCTGTTGATACTATGTCAGAAGTCGGCATTCTAAAATTTACCATTCAAGAAATAGCATATTCATGAACTTAAAGCAGGAATATATTCTGTGCTACATTGTATGAGCTTTTAACACTGCCTTTGTATAAACCACAAATTAATAAATAAATAGACGATAAAATCTATTAGCTCAGATATGTACCATTTGCATGCATTCTCTTTGCATCAGGAGCAAACTTGTCCAGTATCAAACATTTTACTGCCTGTCTTTTATGAGCCAAATCATTTCACAGCAGTTTAATGTCCCTTTTGTTGATAGCAAGTAACACAAAATGATAAGAGGTTTGGTCATGTACCTGAGGGTCTGTCCTCCGCAAAGTCCTTGTCCCAGTTCTTGAGACTGTCGTCGTCCCAGTTTTCTGTTACACTGTCCCAGTCTTCCACGTTTCTGTCATACCAGTTCGTCTCTGTCCCAGTCTGAGACAGGTTTGTTGTTCCAGTTGTCATAGTTTTTGTCATAGTTACCCCATGGTTGACGGGGCACTCCATGTTCTGGTCCAATTCAGTGCTTTTATGATACTGGAAAGAGAGGTTATGATAGGCAAATTAGTCACTGTCTAGTTCTCAAATTGACAAAGTTACAATTTCCTCCTCCTACACTTTATGGTTCATAACATTAGAAAAATAGCAGTTATTCTGAAATCAGTCCAATCCGTACCCACACATCAAGTACAAGATGTGTTTTAATGTTTCCCTCATCTGTGCTACGTTTCATGAGTGTTCTTCCCACTCCAGCACATTTATAATCTCTCCTGTGTGTGCTGTATGTCCTGCCCATCTAATCCTGTTTGGTGTATCATTCTTATACTACCTGATGAGTGTACTTTATGCGGCTTGTTAATTTTCAGTTTCTTCAGCCCCCCATACCCATAATTTAAAATATTCTCTTTAACATACTGTCCTTAGACACCCTCAACTTAGAATACATGTAACAGTATCCCATATGACAATTGCCTTCTCAGTCTGTTCTTTCCTTGATGTGACAGATCGAGTGTCACACCCATACAAAAGAACTTGTAAAATTTCAGTCCTTGTGTATTTTTCCCTTTACATTTATTACATTTCTTGATAGAGTGCAGTCCATAAGATAAAATATTCTGAACTGCACAGTAGAAAGTATTCTCAGAATTGCTCTTAGCCGCCCCATTTGTAGTAATATTATGATTAGTAGTGAGTAATGTTTCTTTCATGTGAAATTCATTTCATTAGATGCACAGTGCAGGGACCTGAATGGTTGGCAGCTGCTCATGTGGACAATAAATTCCCTGCATCTACAGAATCTGACATTCATTGCCCTTTTTGTGGAAATTCATCCCTGGGACCTATCTTAAAATAGTTGAACCTGTATCAAAAGTAATAATAGCAGATCTACATGAAACTGACTTTATAACGCCTATTGTACATGTTACACTCAACTGGCCTTCAAGGGATTTGCTTTAATTTCAAATACTAAAACCAATCAAATAAAATAAAATATAATGCTTTAAGTACATATTTTTATTTCCTTGTCCAGTTTGAAAATGTTAGGATAGTCGGTCTCCAGACACTGATATGAATCTAGGACTCACATGACAAGCTACAATAGGTGAACCATAATTGTCAGTAAACATGAGTTTAATGGTTGAGAGTTTTGACTTTGCAGAAGATCGTCTGTGTAGTGTACCTTAATGGGAGACCAACTTCTGCCCCATTGTTCTGCAAGGGTATGGAAACTAGGTGCTTAATATTCTGTCCTAAGGTACATTTCTGATGGACCCTACTGTCTGAGCATTCCATGTGAATGTGAAATGGAAGTTGTGTGACATTCTGTACAAAATATCCAGCCACTGGATTCTATCCTCCTGTGACAGATCAATCCAATCCTCATCCTCACACATACTGTCTATTTTAATATTAATCACTCACATTCAACTAAGACTCCCAAGTATGACACGTTCACCACCCATTTCATCAGTGTAATAGTATTTGTTAAATACTACAATTTATATTGCTCATTGTTAATCATTTCCCCTCCTGTTATTGCCTTTTGAGTGGACTGTCTGGTGATGGAGTAACTTGTAATAGCTGCAGGTGTAATGTCAATACATTGAAACACTTTATTAAACTGAACTTTGAGGCTGTCAAATATTGACAAATAGGACAATGTAACAAAACTTGAGCCTCTTCTGCCTTAACAAATTCTGCACATTACATCCTGCGTTGCCAAGCTATATATCTTGAAAACAATTTTTTGAGTTACTTTCCTTTCAGAAGAATAATGCCAGCTACAAAATCAACATACATTGTGTGTATTTTTTGTCCTTTAAGCATTTGAAAAACCGACCCATTTTAAAGAAATTCGGTGTAAATATAATGCCACTTGTCTTCATCCACACACTAGGACCACTTCTTATGGAGATGCGAAATTTCATACTGTGATATAATTTCAGAAAAAGCCTACAATTTCCGGAATCCTGTTTTTGTAGAATTTAATGGAACTAATGGTTCCTGCGTAAAATCTGCATTCGGTGTGAATATGATAACTAACAGACCACTGCAAACTGGAATCATACCTGTAAAGATTGCCTGGAGATATGCTTAGAGCAAAAATATACCTATAAATTCTACATGCAGTAATATGTTTTGGTAAACATCTATAACATAATAATGATGCAAAACTGTGTATGACTCATTTGAAGACATGTCGGTAGCTGAAAATACACACTTGTATTCATACATCGTTGCAACTCTTATGTGGACAATAGCTTAGCAGTATGTATATGATGGTGATACTGAAACTGTTTTGCTGTTGTATGTACTGCAGTTTTGCAATCTTATCTTGAATTCCGATCCGAACAAGGATTCTATATTATTCTATCATTTGTAATTTGTATTGTGTTGGAACAGGCATTCACATTAACCATGAAAGAAGCTAAATATGTTGTTGGAACCGAAAGCTCTTCGCTGTATATAACTTACCCAACTCCGCAAAAATGTTGTTCGCCAGTTGGATTTTATGCTCCACATGATGGAATGAGCTCTGTTCTTTCTGTGATACACATAGTTTTTCTTTTGTGTTCTTTTTTCCACAGTTTTCTTCGAAAAATGTTGCACACCGTTATTTTCACATTTCAAAAATAGCTCCTGTTGTTGATGATTGGCTGTTGCGCAATTCCTGTCCGCAATCGATACAGGTATCGAGTGTGAGTCGAGTTTTATTAACGAAGTATTCGCTATATCCGACAGATGTCGCCAGCATGTAAGAACTCGAATCTGAGTATTGATTTTCAATCCATTAAACTCAAGGGAAGTAACTACAGCTGCTACTTTTCTGTCCACATCGCCTACAACACCAAATAACAGAAGTCAGAAGTTAAACAGCAGAGACATATATTGCCTATGAGTACAATGGTTTTTGATGGTTGGTTGTTGTTCAAGAAAGACAAGAATGTTCTGTGAAAAATTAATGCAGCCTCATTGACTACATTATAATTGTTTCTTGTCCTCAGAGAGAAGATTCCTTCTGGATTTAAGAAAATGGTGTTCAGTTTGCCATACATGCCCCAAGCAAAAAGATATGTCAACCGTATAAAATGTTACCAGAATTATTATCCCAAATTAAGAAGGAACATAGAAGTAGTGTTCTCATTGATAACATACTAACCACATATGCGAAGGTACTTGGACAGGAACCGTCATATGCTTCAGGTAAGGATGTACACGTACTTATAGATATATTAAGAGACAGAGTTATTTCAGAGTAGAGAATAAATGTAGTGCTGAATTTTGAGTATATTTTTTCCATATGTCTACATATCTTTGGTATAAATGACAAATGTCTATGAGCAAATGGGTATGAAAGTGGAAATTTTTTACAACATAATGAGATTGCATCCTATTTTACCTGAATTATCTGAGTAGTGCCCGAAGCTGTAACTTCAATATTAATACACACCTGTGTCCTCCTTTAGGCGATAAAGTGTAGAGAGTTTAATATTTGCATCTGTTAATATTTCTGAGATATGTGACAACATAAATATCTTCTTTTTTTCTAGCTTACGAAAAGCATTAAATTTTGTGGAGAATTTTGAACCAAAATATACCATCAAATTGGCTCCCAAGAGCAGTAAGGCAAATTTGCTCCAGAATTGTTCTGATAGTTCTAAAGTTTGATGGTAAATTATTGCCGTGTTATCTTTGTGAAAATGTGTGCCATTTTTCTTTTGTGTATACTTTTTGAAAATTGATAATATCTGTAAAATGTAGATACCAGATTATTAACAGTACGTACTAAGAAATGCATAATAATCTGTAATTTTCAGACTAAGAGTAGAAGATGTCCCTTTATTCCATTTTTCATTAAATTTGTTTGTCAGAAACTCATCTTGCATATTCCTTGTAACCGCTCATCAATCCCTTTAATGGCTTATGTTAATTCTGCACCTGTAATGAATCCAACTTTTAGGTCATAAGGCTTGTTATTGTCCACTAATTGTCGTGTTTTGTCGGCTTGAACTTGGACCCGAGCCAAGCGGGAGTTGATGTTACATTTCCTTTTGAGGCATGTTTACGGTAAAAAAAAGGAGTTTTGCCAACTGTTGCAACACAACACTGCGTGAGTTTGGGAGAAGTGGGCGTATACTTGCGGAGGTGGCAGTAATTTATAAGAGGATTGTGAAATTAATAAAGTGGTTAATTGATTTACTACGAACTGGCCGTGAACATAAATGAGATGAGTCGTTGCCTACCGACTAGCAGAGCTAAGCAAATATCCCTGAGAGATCCCGAGGACCCAACACACTCCACCAGTTACACACGGTCCGGGATGGACTACAGTGTGTGATCAGCCACACTGGTCCGTGGGAACGATCGGTTACAGTGTGGTTAAATCAGAGGTTCTCAAAGTGTGGGGCGCGCCCCCGTGGGGGGAGGGGAGCGAGTGGTTTTCTGGGGGAGGGGTTGTTTATATGAAAAACCTTTTTTTTAACGAAATATGGAGAAACATTTTTAACATCCTACCTGTGCGAGACTGGATTTTCAGCTGAAGCTGCCATCAAAACAAAGTATCATTTTACGATGAACCTGGAAAACGACCTTGGAGTGACCATTTCAAAACTCGAACCTCGGTATGATAAGTTATGTTCACAGAAGCAACCACATTCATCCCACTAATCCAGGTATGAAGCATATATTTTATTACAGTTTTTTAAATTAAATTCATTGAATAATATAAACTAAATTATAAAAAAATGTATACTCATAGCTAAATTTTATGTCAAATCTGTTTGCTTGCACTTGTTCTGGAAGGGGGGCGTGAAATTTATGAAATGTTTTAAGGGGGGCTCAAGGTATAAAAGTTTGGGAACCTCTGAGTTAGACAGATGAAGGGCTGGCTGAGGGAGTGGACTATGTGTGTAAGGAGAGTTTATCCAGAAAGGATTGGGGATGTCAATACATTGTGTATTTTAAACTCTGTCTATTAATGGATCTTCCTTATTCCACAGGAATATTTTTTTTCAGACCATTAAGCAATTCTTGCACAATTTTTTTTTCATGACTGATGTACGTACGAGATGTAATTTCATCTGTGCTGATTCTTTGGCTGCCTCTGGTTTGCTGATTGATCAGTTCCTTAACCTCTTCTTATATCGCAACAGCGGACGTCCAGAACACCTTCATCAATTAGCTTCCGAACACTGAATCTGTATCAGAGATAGTCGTTCTTTTTGGTATATTCTGAATGGCAATGAACAGTGTTGTGTTCGCGAGACGTTGTCGGAAGCTGAGTTTGAACTCGCCGTAGTGTTTGCAGATGTTACGACGCCCTCGGTTTCGTTGTAGTTTTATTGTTCAATCTCTGGCTATGTTCGAAACGACTATGCTGTTCCATTTCGTGTGGTTGGAAGTTGAATGAGGAGAGACGAGGGTGAGATATGGCCGCCGAATTTTTCTTACGAAACATCTCGTTGATGCTCGTAAGGTTCATTTGCGTGCCGTAAATCGACGACATGGAGCCGCCGGCTGAAGGAAGTTGTGTTATGGATTTTTATCACACCTTAAAAATCCATCGACCTCGGCCGGGTCTGAACCCGCGTACCTTTGGTCCAGTGGTGATCACATTAACCATTAGTCTACCGAGGGTGACAAGTTCATTCAAATATTACTTTGCCAAAATAACAGCAGGGAAGTTTATGAACATGTTTTCTATTTAATATTCTTAAATTTATAATTCATATTTAATTAGAAACTGTTTAACAAAATCTAAACAGTTTAGGTATTTAACAGAAAACTAAACTATTTAACTATTTAAAAACTAAAATATTTAACAAAGCACTAAGAATTTAAATATTTAACAAAATCTGAGTAATTTAACTATTTAAAAACACTTCAACTATTTAACTAAAAGAATTTAAGCATTTAACTGAAAACAATATAACTATTTAACCATTCTGACTAATGAAAAGATTTCTTCTGTAAACGATGTAGAAACCAAATTATGTATTTCAGGAATCTGGAAAGAAAATAAACATATGAATCGAATTGGAACTGGAATTATGGGTAACAAGTATGGAAACACATGCAGCGAATGTCTAGTGGCAGGCGATCTCCAAGGATGCAGGTTTTGAAGGAATTTGTGACGAAGTTCGTGGTGAAAGACACTGGACTTATTCTATTTACGTGGACTCTTGTATAAATTACAGGTTTCAACATGATTTAGCAATTTTTGGGTGACTTCTGTTTGACCCTCTGTTTCATCTACCTGTCATAACCCGACCTGGTGTCGTAACTTTTATGTCGTGTGATTTTGAAATGCATAAAACGTACGAGTCGGAGGGAGAGCAGGAATTAGGTCAAATGCAAGAATATAAAAATTACAAAGAGAACGTCAGGCTCTTAGTATGCCTTCGTGGCACTATCCAGGCACTACATTTAAATGAAAGGCAAGTCAGTAATTTCGTGGTGGGCGTTTCCTGTGGCGGTAATTAAATGTGAGCGTGTAATTAGTTCAGTGTGATAATTAGGCAAGTACACCTTTCCAGGTTCTTTTATTCTGTAATACGTATTTCTAGATGTGGTTACAAAATTTTAAAAGAGTTTAATTTGCCTAATTTATTTTTGAAATAAAACAGGTTCTTGAATCTGCTCAAAATTCTGTGCAGTGTCTTAATATTTTGCGTCCTTTGAGATTGCCACCAAACGATTCAAGATCTGAGTTCTTTAATTTGTAGTATGTGTTTTCAACAGGGACATTGAGAGTGAAAGAACGTATTGAAATGAAGATCAGGAGGACCATTTTAAAGCCAGTCCTATAAACAATTACGCGTAATTAATTACACACGTACAAAACCGTCATGTGCTCGAATGTTCAGATATTTCTTAACTGTATAGTTAAATAGCCATCTTGATTTTTCTCTTGAACACATTTTACTACACCATTTACATTGATCAATGTTGTCATGAATCTGTATTGGGCCCAAATAATTGTTGTAATCCAAAGGAGAATTGACACTAACCTCAATGTTAATAAACTGCTGAATGCCTTCTTCTTGAGTGGCGTCCAAAAATTCTTCTTTAGAATAAGGGTTAAATTCGGGAGAACCAAAATCTGGCAGAGGAATATTTTCTGCTGTGCTCGGCCGCGTGTTAGAAGGCGGTGGGTTGTCGCTGCTTTTGTTTCGGGATGCGACAGTCGTCTGTTGTTCTTCGTTGCCAGCATTGTGGGCAGTGCGAGTTGTTGTTGTTGTAGTCGGTGGTGGTATTGTGGATACAGGAATAGGTAGCACGGTGCTCTCTGGAGAAATGGGCATCATTTCCAGCATTTTCATCGTTTTTTGTCTATGAAATTCAGAAAATGGTTGATTAGTGGGCTTCAATCAATGAAACAAAATTCTTGTACCTTAAAGTATTGATACGACATGCAATATAATATTACGATGATAATTAAATTTATAAGGTGGCTGATTCGTTGTGGATATCCATCTTTTCTAACATTTTGGAATTCTAAATAAAATGATGTTGTCTTTTTCACATGTCTCTAACAGGGGGTCAGCCTTCAT